TGGAGGAAAACTGCCGCAAAGCGGCCGCCACGCTGACCAAAGCCACCCAGGAGCAGGAGAGCTGCCAGCGGGACCTGCTCACCACCAAGACCGTCTGCGAGTCCACCAAAACCAACCTGGAGCTGCTGAAGCACGAGTGCGGCTCCTTGAGGTCCGACATCAGCTACTCCTTCCAGCGCATCAAGGACATGCTCACCCCCTACGGCTGCAACGGCGTCCACGAGCAGCTCAGCTGGTTGACGCAGCGGACGGAGGGGCTGTTCCTCTGGCAGCAGGAACGGGAGACCAAATACGTGGGGAAAAGCGTCTGCGACATGAACCTGGCCCAGTGTCGCATCAACTGCTCCAGGGAGAAGCAGGAGTTGGAGAAGCGGCTGCAGGACGTCGAGAAACAGGTCAAGGGCGGCCAGGAGGAGAGGAAGAAGCTGGTGGCGGAGAAGGAGCAGCTCAGCAAGGAGCTGGAGGAGAAGAGCAAAGCCGCCGCGCAGGCTGGGTACATCAAGGAGCAGCTCAACATCTGCATGGGCTCCAAGGTGAGGGAGCTGCCGGGGCACGGGGAGGGGGGGCGTCCCCGGGCACCCTCCGCGGCCACGCACGAGGCTGAGCACGTACATCTTTATTTTGCACACGCAAAACTGCGTGTGCACCTTTATTTTTGCACGCGTGGCAGACGCGTTTTCTTTTGCACGTGCACCTTCCTCTGGCAAACGCGCTTCTGCGCGCCCACGGCCGCACCCCGGGGGAAGGCACAAGCCCCTGCAGCCCCCTCAAGCCCCTCTTTGCCCAGAGGTGCTGTGCCAAGCGGGGCAGCAGCGCTGCTCCCCGCCTCCTCACCCGCTCTCCTCCGCAGATGGACGCCTTCTTCGACATCACGGGCTCACGGGTGCCGGTGAGCGCCGGGCGGCCGGGTCCCTTTGCCAACACGGGCTCCTACGTGGATGCTCTGAGGAACCAGGGCATCTTCGGGAATATGGGTGAGTCCTGGGCCGGGGTGCTCGCGGTGGGACCCGTGCCCTGGCACGCTGGGGGCCACCGTTATTCCCCCTCCCGGCGCCCAGCCCGGCTCAGGCCCCGCTGCTCCATCCCACCAGGCAAAATCAACACGGAGGAGATCC